CAGAGAAAACTAATTAGTACAGCTACTAATGATTTCAATGTATTCAATTCCTTGCTTGGTTCTAGGATCCCCATTTTATCACAGCTTTTATGAGAACTGCACTGGGGAAAAAATCTTGCTAAATAATTGCTTTATATTATGGGCAGGTTCTGAAAATGAAATCTACACCATTTGCTGAAAACTGAAGAACATATGTTCAGATTATATCAAAAACAAGTATGTTAAAAATTACAAAATCTTCTGGACAATGAATAAATTATGATTTAAATAGTTAAAGTGACCTGTACAGACTAGTGATTTAAGCCAATTTGATTAAAATAAAATCTGTCCTCAGCTAACCTGATGAAAAACTCTGCAGAACTCAAAAATGTATGCATTCTTTTCTAGCATTTTGGTCCCTTATAATAAAAGTACTAGGCAGCAATGGATTTGGGATTTTGTTTCCATAAGCACAGCTGTTTTCTTTTTCTTTTTTTAAGATCAAAGGATTTTAAGGATGAAAACCTTACTTGGAAGTAAGTCTCAATGAATTCATTTCTAAATAGGCAAGCATAGAGTTGCATTCTTAACTCTGTAACCCTAAACAAACATGGCTAGAAAGTAAACCCACCTGTTGGCTCCAATCCTAACCAGTTTATTTCTAGTAACCTACAAAATCCTATCGTTTTGGGAAATTAGGGGATTATGACTAGAATCAAACCAGGACCAAGGCACAAAATCCATTTCAAAAAGAAAACTGATGTAAAATACAAAAACAGTCCTTAGCAGAGTTAGCAACTGCATGGAACAAACCTTATAGAATTTTATCCCATAACTTCATAAGGTGTTGCTGATGAAGTGACATGACACAGTGGAAAGACGACAATGAGTTAACTGGAATGGCATGTGTTCAGGCCAAAATTGCCTTATGGTGTCCACAGTTGCTCAAACAATCAAAAGTGCTGTCCGTTTTCACAGCCAAGAAATCACTTACCAGCACCAAATGCCCATGAGGAGGCTGCTATGTTTATTAGTGAAAATTGGTGCAAGAAGAAGAGGCAGAGACCAACAAACGTTCTCTAGTTTGATAACCGCACGCCTGGCTGCTTGAAAGACAAAGCCAGGCTAAGCTCCCCAGAACTGTAAAAATGATTGACCCTGGATGTTAAGCGTATTGGCAGGCACCAAATGTAATGCTGTTAATCAACAAGGACGGCTAGCAGGGAGCAAGGAGGCTGTTCTGAAAAGACAAGGAAACGGGGCTTTCCAGCAGATTCCCAGAGCCTTTGTCAGCTTGCCAGCACTTTAAGAGGGTAAAGCAGTAGGATAGAAGGTGAAGAGGCAAAGCAATCAAGCCACCCATAAGAGGTTAACCCTTTGCTCTGCCTGCCCTGTACAATAATCCATCTATTTAACACATATAAAGCACGTTGCAGGAGATAAGAACTTGGAAGTGACATCTAAATATCCAAGAAGACTCTGAGGTGCCTTTAGGAACAAGAGCACTCAATCAAGCCCATTGCTGCTGGCATTGTTTGGATATAACTTCATCTAATATCAAAACAGAACAGACTAGAAAGTGTTAGGCCCACTTAAACACCATCTTTTGCCATGCAATGTCAGTGATAAGATAACAAGAAAAGAAAGAGCTTCTAGTAACAATCTATTACTTCTGCACTATGTTTACCCCCAACTCCCATTTCATTCAGCAGCACTTCTTACGCCCATTTAGGATTGAGCTGTCATTGCAAAAAGCATTCCTGAAATGTAAGGGTTTATTTTTTAATATTCAATACTGTAAAAAATTAACGCTTGCCAGTAGGAAAAAAAAAAGTTATAATCTTATGTGCACATACCGTATCTAAAAAGCAACCCCACTGAACTGAGACAGGTTTACTTCCTAGGAAATAAGCTTGTATAGAGTTGTGCTCACCTATTTTGCCTATGATCAGCTTCCTATACAGGAAGCAAACACACCACATAAATATATGCATTCCTATTTTTGTACTCACACACTTTAAAAGCCACAATATACATGGTGTACGTAACTTTTTTCTATCCAGAAGCTGTATTTATGTGTCTATTTATTGCAATACTATCTGTGTGGTCTACTATCTACTGCAGCATCTATCTATGTGGTCACTAGGAGTCCAAAACGTCTTGATAGCATATAATCAATCAGTTGCACTACTACAACTCAAGGCAGTTTACATAAATAAAATTCACATAATAAAACTTGCATGTGTAGCTCACGTCCAATGCCTGTACCAAAAGCCCATTGGAATAAGAAGGCTTTTGCTGCTCTGCAAAATGCAAGCCAAGTGAGGGCTTCCCTCATCTCAGGTGACAAGGCATTCCATGTCATGGGAGCTGTCTCCAGGTTCCCACACCTTTAACCTTACATTGGGTGGTGACCCAGAGCAGCCTGTCTCAGGATGAACGTACAAGGCAGGATGGTTCTGGGTTGGGAGAGATAATCCTGCAAGTACAGAGGTACCAAGCCATGTATGGCTTTAAAAATTAAAACCAGCATCTTGACCTGGAGTTGGGAGCCTAGATGTAATCAATGCAGCTACCTTAAGGTAAGTGTAATGCTGCTGAATCTACTTTCTTCTGTCAGCAGGCAGGCCACTGCATTTGAAGCTTCTGAGTCTTCCTCAAGGGCAGTCCTATATAAAGTGCATTGCAGTAGTCCAACCATGAGGAGAAAAGGACATGAATCACTGTTGCTAGGACATGCCACATCTTAGCAATAACGCATTATTAGAGGAATAGCATGAAAGCAGACCCTTCCTTCAAAGGAAAAATGCCAGGATGAAAAAAAATATGGACACTGAAACTTCTGCACCTTCAGACTGATTTAACCTGGGCCAGACACCAACTTACTATCTAGGAAATCTAAGACATGCAAAGTGATCATTATATTCTTAAATCCTAGTAAAGTTAATGTGGACTTGCACATGAGCAATTATGTAACTGCTGCAGAGATCTATAGTTTATATTCATTCCATAAAGTTTTTCATTACATCAAAGCTGTCTTTAAGCTCATGACATCACCTTAAATAAAATGGTTTTTTAAAGTATTTCCAACACTAACTTAACAGTTATACAAAGCTTTCAGCTGATCAGAGTTCTGAATATATTATCTATTACCACTTACTTACAACTAATTCCCTTAAAGATCAATGGACTTGATTTCCAAGTAAGTAAGCTTAGTATTACATTAAATATCAACTTTTTTTTTAAATGTCCTTGATGCTTTACAATATGAAACTTTCTCAGCTACCTTATGAGACAGCTTTTTATTTCTATTTTACCGAACAACCAAGGCTAAAAGCTCTGTTCTTCCAATCATTCATGATACAGTGACAGAAATGGGTATTTGAATTCAGTCTCTCCCATCAGAGTTCAACTCAAGGTCCACTATTCCAAAGATTAGCTTTCAAGAACTGGATCAAACTGATATAAATCATCATCAACTGCTGGAAGCAACTGACTTCCACTTGATAAGGTGTTCATCCTGCCTGATTAATTCCTGAGCACTCAAAAACCTGCACACTATTTTATTCAATGTACACCCCTCCCTTCAGCTCAAACAAGCACTAAAGGGGGCTAACAAAATTTAAAAATACAGTAAGATCCAAAACTTAAAACGAATGCTAAAATCAAGTCAGTGAGAAAGAGGCATCTTTAGGGAATTTTGTGCCCTAATTTTTAATATAGCTAAACACACCAGTTACTTTTGCTTGTTGCTTGATAAATGCCCCCACAGGCTGCTCTACTTAACAGAACAAAGGGAGCTTTCAGTCACCTTTCTTCTACTCCCAGCTACAAGTTTGGGGGGGACAGGGAAGGAAATGGTTGGCCAAAGAGGCTGGTTTTTTTGGGGGGGGAGTGAATTCACATGTGGCCACTTTAGTGATTGTAGGAAGAGAGAGGAGATCTCAGTAAAAAGATGGAAGATAATAAGACGCCTCCGCACTCCCCCCCCCCGGCTTTATGCCTCTTCTCGGGTCTTCCGAAAGGATGAGATGAAAAGAATAGCAGTCCCACGGTCCACCTCCCGGCTGGCAATGCAAGCCTCCACCGACTTCCACGGCTTTGCAGACTGCAATCCGAGGCACCCTTCCTCGAGAGCCAGTCTCAGCGGCCTCAAAGATCTTACAGTATTTCCGAGGGACCGCGCATAGGGCCGGAGAGTAAGGAAAGAGCGACCCTATGGAATAAAAGGAAGGCTTATTTATTTAAGGATGCGACGCCGGAGAAAGCTTGAACCGAGTCTCCCACGGAAGCAAAGGATTTTCTCCGCAACCGCATCTCGGGATTGGGAGCGCAACGCCGCAGGCAGGCGGCGCTCCAGAAGTTCCGCGGGCTTCCTCGCCATCCCGATGGGACGCGCGCAGGTGAGCCGCCCGGGGCCCCGCGCCCGGCCCCTTTTGCAAGGCAGCAGCCTCGGGGCTGCGAAGGAAGAGGGGACTCGCGCCACAGCCTTCAAGCCGTTCGGAGGGTTTTGCCTCCAAGGTTTCCAGGAGCACAAAGGATGTCCGACTTCTTCCTAGATGCCGCGACCCACCCGGCCCCCTCCGAAACAGCTTTCCCCAAGCGGGCGCCTTCCAAGCGCGTTGGAGTCCCGCTCTCGTACTTTCCAAGCATTGGGGGATTAGGAGACTGGAAGGCCAAACATATCTGGAGGGCGCCCGGTTGGGGAAAGCTTTTCTAAAAGTTCCCTTGCGCCCTTCCGGGTTATCCGATAACTCCAGCAGCCCCCGCTCTTTTCACACCCACC